GTCTTTGAACCTGGTGCAGGGATCTGAGAAGCAGCAGCAAATGCTTGGCTTTTAGACACTGAGTTGGATGAGATCCAACCACTCACCAGCCAGGGCTGAAGATCACAGGGAGGAAAGCCGTCTAACTGGGTCCGCAGTGCAAGTGGGAATTGAGGGAGATGGTCCCTGTCCTTTCTCCAAAGTTTTCCTTTTCCTAATCCTATCTTATCTGCAATCAGTATGGCATCAGTGAACTCTGCAGGTGCCTGTGCGCTGGAATGAGAGAGAAGATGGGCTGCTGGCAAGGAGGAAGTCAAGGGAGGCAGCCAAGACAGGTGTGGGGGTCAGCTCGGCTCTGCAACAAGGGACACACACAGCCCCACCTGGTGAACTCCCAGGACTCTGGGGTTAACTACATGGTCATTCGGCAGAGCAAGGAGTGGCCTCTTAAGATCCCGCCCTGCAGGGATATGAGTTAGGAAGATGATAGCTGGTGGCAGGGCACCCTCGGGCTGGGGGGCTGGGCCCAGAGCTCATCCTGCGTGCAGGAAGTGGGAGGCCAGCTCTGTCTGAGCTCCCCAGAATGTGATGAAGCAGACCCAGCAGCTGCTCAGGTCCATGCAGGCAGGGAGACTCATGCACCTGCCAAGCTCAGGCCGAATGGAAATCCTCAAGGCTCCCCATAGTGATGGGACAAAGACCAGGTGTGTGATGTCCCCTCCTCCCCACCCACCCTGACCCCCGTGTGTCTGTGTTCTTTCCCTGGGAGAGTCCTGTTCCCTTTGCCTCCTCAGCACTGGCTGAGCCCAGAGAGCACATGTCTTAACAGACTCCCTCTGAAGATGGTCTGGGGCAGTGGGGGTTGGTGGTGCTGCTGTGCAGTCAGCAGAGGGCTGAGCATGGCGGGCTGGCTATCACCGAGGAATAAACACTGTAGGGCTTCCCATTTCATGGAAAAGACAGTTTCTACATCCCTCGGGCCCTTGGCGGCTGAGACTAAATCCTGACCCTCCTGAGTGTCTAAGGAAACTCATGAACATGGAGGTGAGGATTTCTGTCACTTGCTGGAACTTGGCTGGATGGTGGAGGGGGCACCTGTTACAGAGTCCTGGCAGGGCAGGAACAGAACCAAGGTTTCCTCACTAGCTGGGAGGTCAGGAATGGTCTTGCCCTGCCCCTTGCCTCAGTTTCCCCACTTAGGCTAACCAGCCTACTTTGCAGGGTTATCTACAAGGCCCTGAGGCTCACCAAGTCAGAATAACAGTTCCAGTATGGGGAGAGTCCTGGCTCCCCTACATCCCATCCAGGGCCTTGGCTCCTTGCCTCCCCACTAACTGCCTGGCCATCTCTTTGACGGCCGTGAACAACAACACCTCTGTGCTGGGGGCCCACCAGGCCAGGCAGGACTGGAGTTGCCAAGAATCCTGCATGGTTAATGGCCCTTCTTGCTTCCAGTAGCCTCTCCAGTGACTCAGACACACCCGTGCTGCTTTGGAGTCTTCCTCTATGAGGCAAGACCTCCTGGCTGCTGGGAGAGGGGTGGAGGGAGGTGTGGGGTCTCTGGCCCTGGACACCTCCAGAGTTGGCCCTTCTCAAATGCTGCTGGCAGCTGCCTGCCGTTCTGCCTCCTCACTCAGGAAGGCCAGGAAAAATGCTTTGACTCTGGGACCTTTGGTGACATGAAGATCACTGAGAATTGAGCCGAGGACCAAACACACACTGCTTCTGGCCAGAATCCCCAGAAGGTTAAACACATTTTGCAGGGTTCCAGCAGTGGAGTAGACCTTCCTTCGACACAGATTATGTTTGCCAGGTTGCCTTGGTGGAGCCCCAACAAGCAGGAGCGTCTAGAGGAGGCCCCTCCCTCCAAGCCCTTGCCGGAAACTGCCAAATCAAAACTTTGTGCCACTCACTTCCTCCTGAGTCATTTGGGTTTTAGAAGATTATTGAAAAAGGAAAGAAAGACAGACAGAAAGAAAGGAAGCCCAAGGGTATGAGGCCTTCTCAAGCTGGCCAGCCCACAAAACTCTCTGCCCCTCCGACTCCCTGGCACTCACATCCTGTGTCCCATCTCCCATGTGCAATCGTTTTGTGCATGCTTCCTCCCATCTAGTCTCCATGTCCACACCCACAAGGGTTTTGAACACAAGAAACATATGAGAAGGGTTTCACACTTTTTCATGATGCCCGCCCTGCCCCACTGCCTCGCTCAGTCCCTGATCAGAGCCCACAAAGCATTTGACTGTCATAGCAAAGACAGAAAAAAAAAAATGGACCTTGGTTTTATAAGAGAAGGCTCCACCAGACTGCTTTCGAGGCAGGGACTTGATGCAGCCCAAATGCTGCCAGTGCCATTGAGGCTGAGTATGGACTTGGAGAGCTTTCCACAGAGCGGCTGCACTTTGGGCCTGATGGATGGGACCCGGAGAACCAAGTGCACTCTGAGGGCCCCATGGTGTGAAAGCACAGGGCCAGGAGCCCAGGAGCTGCAGGCAAGCCTGGGCTCTGCAGGGGACACGTCTGCCAAGTGAGAATCAGGTGGGTAGATGCGACTCTCCACATGCACGTTCCCCAAACCCTGCAATATGGGGCCTGAATGCGGCTTCCTTAGCAGAACACGAGCTGCTCTTGGCATTGGAAGTAGGCTGGCATTTTTTGAGGGGGAGGAGAAGTTGCAGAAAAAGAAGAAACCCTGAAATGACAGACAGTGGGACAGCTGTGGCCTGAACTTGATGTTCTTGCTCCTCGGATGTGGATGTATTAATTTCCATAAATGCTAACAGCCCATTTCCCCAAGAGCTATTACTTATGTCATCTCCCCTTGGACACGGTTCAACACAGGGCAGACAAATGAAAGAGAGGATAAGGCAACTCCCACTGGCGGGTCCCTCGCTCCCTGCCCCTCTCCCAACCAGGTGGCTCAGGTCTGGTCCCCAAGGTGGCACTGATAACTGCGGGGTCAAGACCCCCTGCTTCAGCCCCAGAGCCAGGTCCCTATCACGACAGGAAGCAAAGAAAGTTACCAACCCCAAAAATGCTGAATCACAAAGTGAGGCTGAGCAGGAAAGTGGGGGTGGGGTGGGAGGGAGATGGTGGCCAGGGAGGAAACAGGCAAGGGTGCTAAGGGGCTTCCCACTTGGAGCACCCCAGCATGCTCTAGGCAAAGCGTGGCCCCCGCAGAGCCTAGAGGACAAATGCCTGGAGGAGTGGCGGCAGGACGTGCCAGGGGGGGGGGGGGGGGAGGGGG